TCTCTCTCTCTCTCTCTCTCTCTCTCTCTCTCTCTCTCTCTCTCTCTCTCTCTCTCTCTCTCTCTCTCTCTATGAATTAGCATTAGTAAATATTCATGAAAATATTTACACAGAGAATATAAAGTGTGCTATTGTTGTTTAAGATTTTGGTTATGATGTTAATAGGTAATTACAATTTTTTGTGTTGACTACTTTATATATTATACTATTAAACACGTCAATTGACTGAATCTTAGGCAAAGAAATAATTATATAAACAAAACTATTATCTTAATACAATCAAATAGAAAAGAAAGTATATTACAAATAATTAGAATAAATTATCCAAGCCAAATATTAACTTATAAAATACATTTATTCTTTAACATAATTTTGGAGTTTACGTTACATACTACAAATTTTCAATATTGTCAGTACATTCTAGAACACATGTAGAAAAACATTTTGTTGCTTCTATCAGTTTCATCAATCTTCTAAAACCAAAACATATTTCCATTTCTATAGATATTCTAAATTTTCTGAAAATTTATTTTGTTGACTTTCCCTCATGTATAAATAGAGCAATAAAAGAATAATAACTCGGACAGCACAGACTTTCCAAGAGACATCTTGAGGACATAAGGACATCCTTAGAATGACAAGATATTTTTTGGAGGGATATACTGTCTTGGAATTGAAAATTATTTCAAAGGCAAGAAGATTTTCAAACTGAGGAAGTGTCGAAAACTCTAAATATTTAAAAAACAAAGGATTTTATACATGTTACATTAAATTTAAATAGAGATAAGTTTAGTTGTAAAAATTTTGAAATTAGCACACAATATCTAAATATTTTTTTCTTAACATATATTTTTCTATAGCTTTTTACTTATTATTTCAGAAACTATTCTGATGCGATAAAGTCAAATAAAATTATTGACAAACATTAAATGAATATATTATGTTCTTATTACATTCAAGCTGCACATGAAATATAAAAATGTAAAATTTGAATTTGTTAAATTTGAATTTGTTTGAACAAGATTGATGGACCTTGATTAGCTGACAGAAGAAATAAAAAAATATGAATTGAGTGTTAACATAAATGCAGTTACACGTTAAGCTATTTAAACTAATTTTGGATTCTAATATATTCAAAAGAATATCATAAATACATTGCTGACTATGACGACATATGCACAACATGAAAAATTGAGAAACACAGAAAACATATCTTTAAATATACGTTCCCCTCAAAGTTCACATATTATTAATTTTTAAATCCCTCTTGTTTTAATTATATAACATTAAGCTCAGATATAAGGACTAGTAAGGATTCGCTCTTATCAATCGGCAAATAACATCATGTTAAATAATCTCCACTTCTCTTTTCCATATCAGACTCCGCGCATTCTTGTGTCAATGTACGAGAGAAATGGAGGGTTGATAGCGGCTTCCCCCCTCCCGGCCCCCTTCCTAGATATATACTGTCTTACGAAACACGCGACCACTAGTATTGCATGCGCTTCGCGACGATCGGTGTTTCCTGTGCTCGCTTTAACGCCGAGACGTATGTGGCTACAAGATATTTCCTGAAGTCGGAGCAAGTGTTACAATGACGATGGACAGCGTCGCGATGTCGGTGGGAGCGGACAAGCAGCACGTGTCGCTGAGACAGGAAAACAACCGTGCAGGCAGTATCAAAGCCGGTGTGATTGATTTCGTGGCCGGCTCGCTTGGTATGCGCCTGTCGTGAAATTGTTTTGTTTATTTACAAAGCCACACATCTCTCGGGGATGCTCAATGAAGAGCTACGGTGAATCTCAGTCACGTGCGCGACAAGCACTGACGCGCCAGTTACGCGACTAAAATTGCTCCATGCAGTTGCGCTACCGGCGATTTGGTAATCGATATAATGGAACTTAGCGTTTACCGTATAATGTACGATAAGCCTTCGTATTCAGAGATATAAAATCGTGATGATTTTCCCGAGTTCTTCATAGATGTGCGATTATGAAAATAAGAAAGTTTCAGGACATTAAGGAGTAAACTAGATTTAGGAATAGAGAAAAAGAATAGTTGAGAGGATTAAGTTGTTGGGAAACGAAGAATTACTTATATAATGTGATTGTATAATTTAAATAATTAAACAAAATTTATTTTACTGACGATTTTTTCATTCGATACGTATAACATATATAAAGACACATTAATGTGTAATTAAAATTAATCATTGAGATTGTATCAATCAACTGCATCGGATTCAGTGATAGAATGGCAGTCCCGAAACGTTATCTTTCGTCTGAGTGACAAACTGAGATAAGTCAAGCTGATTCCCTCGCACGAAATTCCTTCGCTGATTCCCGTGCTCTCCTCCGTTACGAAGATGAAGAGGGAAGAATACGTCATTTAAAAAGAAACTATGTACTCCCCAGATAGCACAGAGAATTCAAAAAGAATTCAGTCGTATGTCACCAATTTTGAGTTCATTTTTAGATACAAAAAGAATTCTTTTCACTGAACTGAACTCTGAAGAATTCTTTTTGCATCTGAAAATGAACTGAATTGGTGACATACGACTGAATTCTTTTCGAATTTTTTCGAATTCTTTATGTTATCTGGGTTACGATGATTTGCTCTTTGCACCAAGGACAGCAATAAAAATTAAATATCAATTCTGTCACCTTCCAGTTGTTTTCTTTAAGACGACAAATAACTCTTATCTAGAATTTTTTTCTTGTCCGTGGCATAATTGAAGAAACAGGATGGAAAATATTGCTTTCGCTACGAAGCACTTCTAAAGGCGTTATCTGCTGATCATTCTAAGCTCGTTTCCAAACACGCTCTTATAGATAGATATAATTACTTGACATAGCAAATTTCCTAGAATTTATCAAGACTTCTATCCGTTTCTAACCATCACCGTCAGATAAGAATTATTCACTTTTAAAAAGAACTGTGTAAAAAAGAAAAACACAGAAGGTTTTTCGCATTGAGAGAAACGAAGGGATTCCCAACGAGATTCTATTCGACAGGTGGTGCAGCTCTTGTCTACGTGGGCCAACCGTTGGACACAGTCAAGGTGAAGATGCAGACGTTTCCCACGATGTACAACGGCATGGTGAACTGTTTCCTCCGTACATTAAGGACAGACGGCATCGTGAGGGGTTTATACGCCGGCACTATCCCGGCTGTGGTCGCCAACGTCGCCGAGAATTCCGTACTGTTCGCCGCATACGGCGGATGCCAAAAAGCGATCGCTCATTTAACGGGTATATACTTCCCTCTGAACTCGAACACTATAACGATACAATTCATTAGCGATTTTTGGAAAAAAACTTCAAGCTGACTTATGCAGACAGCACGAACTCTAAAAATGACGTATAAAATGACTAAGATGTCTTTTAGTTATGTTTATGACACTTCTAAAAGATGTATTATAAAGATGACTAAAAAGCATCTTAAAGTCATCTGATGCGTCGTTTTTAGAGCTCATGCTATCTGGGAATACTTCAAAAGAGTAAATTTGATATTTTAATTATGGAGTTCTCAATTGAAGACAAAAATCCTAATGCAAAAATATCGAGTGGGATTCTCATTAATCCCAATTAACTTTCCAGTTTTTTATATTTATTACATATCTATGCATATACGACTAAACTTTTAATTAAAATCCTGTTTAAATATATGTCGTCTGAAATTAACAGAAAAAAATGTTATTAATCTAGCTTCCTGAAGTTTAATTCGCGAAAAGACAGTCTTCTTTATTGGGAAGAGGGAAGGGAGATCCTGAGACACACTCTGTATAAAAAAATAATTTGAAGCAAGATTATTATTCAGTAAAAATGCTGTAACAGTTGTACGACTGTTATTTCAAACTTACGTTCAAAGGCATACATTTCTTCTCCAAAGGCACAATGTAACACGTAAAATATGACATAACTCGAATAATATAACACTTTTCCCGTGAACTTTCCGTTCACCGATACAGGTGCGCAGAGTGTGAAGGAGTTGAACTCTATTAGCAACGCCTGGGCCGGCTTCTTCGCTGCATTCTTTTCCTCGTTGACGCTGTGTCCGACCGAGCTGATAAAGTGCAAGCTGCAGGCAATGAAAGAGGTGGAAGAGACAAAAGCAGCCACCAACGCCATGGACAAAACCAGGGTGAATAGCGCGCTGCCGACGTGACGTCCGGCTACTTCTAACGCAAAAAAAATTGTTAACTATTTTGAGTGACGAGACGTCGTTGTTCCCTCAGAGGCGCGTAGGACCGTGGAATTTGACGAGACAAATTCTTAGGGAGCAAGGTGTAAGAGGCCTGTTTACAGGTCTCTCGTCGACGATAGCCCGCGAGATGCCAGGTTACTTCTTCTTCTTTGGCGGCTACGAGGGCACGCGAGAGTTGTTAGCCACAGCTGGCCAAAGTAGGGACGAAATCGGCTGGCAGAAGACGATGGTAGCCGGCGCAGTCGGCGGCATAGTGCTCTGGCTGGTGATATTCCCCGCCGACGTGGTGAAGAGCAGAATACAGGTTCGTCCTTGGTAGCGCAGAGACGCGCGACGTACTTGGAGTCATTCAAGGTTGGAAAATAACGCGTTATGAGGGAGACCGGGTCACGTTTTGGCGTCTCGCTTGACTGTAATCGATCAAGCAGACTTAGGGCCGGTTTTTCAATATATTGAAGTTTAAACAAAACAAACGCATTGTTAGAATAGAATTTAAACTTGAATCCAAGAGTTTAAACTGCTATTGAAAAACCGGCCCTTAGTAAATAGTCTGAATACTTTTCTTTTGTTCGAACAATCAATAGATAACCGTAAAATTAATGTGACATGCAATCTTCTTTTTTGTTACGTTAATTTTACGATTATTTATTGATTGTTAGAGTAAAAAGAAAGTGTGTTCTCTCAGACTATCTTACGGGTCTGTTCGATGGATTGCAAGTATCATTTCTTTTCAATGTATTTTGCAGGAAGTTTAAACGTTTATTATTTGGCTTCTGATGTTATAAATCAAGACAACGAAGAACCTTTTAAAAAGAATATTTTACGATCCTTATTACGCTGTTTCTCTCAATAAATATAGCCAAGCGATTATAGTCTGAGAGAACACACTTTTTTTTTCTCTAACAATCAATAAATAATCGTAAAATTAACGTAACAAAAAAGAAGATTGCATGTCACATTAATTTTACGGTTATCTATTGATTGTTCGAACAAAAGAAAAGTATTCAGACTATTTACTAAGGGCCGGTTTTTCAATAGCAGTTTAAACTCTTGGATTCAAGTTTAAATTCTATTCTAACAATGCGTTTGTTTTGTTTAAACAGAGTTTAAACAGAGTTTAAATTGAAATCTAAGTTTAAACTATCATTGAAAAACCGACCCTAAGTCTGCTTAATCGATTACAAAAGTCATTTTGCGGATACATCTTTATTTCGATGTACTTTACAAGAATTTTTAGCGTGTATTTTCTTCTAATGTCATCACAATCAAGAGAGAAAAAGAAATTTCGAGTTTTAAAATATAAATATATATTCTCTGAACTCAGACATTTTAGATAAATTTTGAGATCTTAAATTATAAAACTTAAAAATGCCATATATACATACGTATCCACACACACACATACACAACATATCAATGCATTATATGTGAAGCATTATATAGGACACGAAGAATCTTTGACCTCTAATAAGATACCTTTTTTCCAGGTAAAAAATCTGAAGACACCCGCATTGATAGTTTTCAAAGACATTATAAGGCAAGAAGGTATCGGCGCATTATATAACGGATTGATACCGACTTTGATACGAACGATACCAGCGACCGCCACATTATTTGTCACCGTCGAATATACGAAGAAAATCATGTACAACTATTTTTAAGATCAATCTCGATGTTGAATTGCTTGAATGAACTTGGTATCCCCATGTTACAAAATATTTTCTTTAAAAATTTGAATGGAATATTTACCATAAAAATGCAATGTCTACAAACAAAAGAACAATGTACAAAGGAGAAACTTCTCATTACAAAGTATTTAAAAAAAAAATATGTAAATAAAAAGAAATAATATGTTACTGTATCACCATTTAATATAATTGTCTACACATGCTAAATATATTAATATTGTAATATAATATTGATACATCAAATATATATATATATATATATATATATATATATATATATATATATATA